GTATGTATGTATGTATGTAAATATGTATGTATGTATGTATGTATGTATGTATGTATGTATGTATGTATGTATGTATGTATGTATGTATGTATGTATGTATGTATGTATGTATGTATGTATGTATGTATGTACGTATGTACGTACGTACGTACGTACGTATGTATGTATGTATGTATGTATGTATGTATGTATGTATGTATGTATGTATGTATGTATGTATGTATGTATGTATGTATGTATGTATGTATGTATGTATGTATGTATGTATGTATGTATGTATGTATGCATGCATGCACGTATATAGCGCTTACGATACCTCAGCACAATAGTAGCTTCATGGTGCCAACTAAAAGTAATTGTTCGAAAATTGTAACAACGACTTCACACGAAAAATCTTTAAGAAGATGAACTAACAAATGTAAACTTCGAGTACAGGGAGCTAACCTATCAACCTAAGAGAGAGAGAGAGAGAGAGAGAGAGAGAGAGAGAGAGAGAGAGAGAGAGAGAGAGTGTGTGTGTGTGTGTGTGTGTGAAAGGCAAATCAGCACAGTCCTGGTTATACAGTTCAGAACTAAAGCCAAGTAATAAAAATGTTAAAGTCAAAATATTACCATGTCTCCCAGGAGGACAATGTTTCTATGCAAATGTAAATAAGTATTGTCAAACAAAAGATAAAGGAGTTGCTAAATGCCGCCCCCAACACCCCAAAAGGCAAAATGGATGAAAACATTTGAGTATAATATAAATATATTAATATATAAAATGCGCTGCCTAAAAGTCCAAAATCTCAGTTGGAACATATCACGGGAAAATTCTCAATGCATATAGGATTCCTCCATTAAGTAGTCTCTTAGGACATTCAGGATGGGCGTCAAGCCTAGTTTACATTACCGAGCCGCCGGAAGCATCCGAGTATTGATCAATGTTTTTTTTTCGTGAGCAATCCTGTTAGTCTAGATATAGACTGACATAAAATGTATGCAAGATTTACGCTGTAAATATCGGAATCTTGTCAGAAATAATAATAATAATAATAATAATAATAATAATAATAATAATAATAATAATAATAATAATAATAATAATAATAATAATAATAATAATAATAATGAACAAAGATAAAAAGTGTTACATGACAAGGGCTCGTACTCAGTAACAAAGAAAATAGTGAAAGCCTACAAGCTTTGTATATTTCAACAAAACAATTTATTTCCCTAGACAACAATGTAAAAAAAATTAATAGGACTTACAATTTGTGAATATAATCCAAATATGATTCTAAGAACAAAAAGACAAGTTCTATCACTAAAATGTTTTACAAGAATCCAGGTTCGAGTCCCGACGACGTATGAATATGGAGGGCGATGGCGTCAGATGTAGTCCGATGTATGAATAACAATAATTCCTCACTTAAATCAGAGTCTTTGTTTCCGAATAATTCCAGAATTTAATTTCCTGGTATATCTTTCAGAATATTTTTGTATGAAAGTCAACTTGTTGATTGTCTAGGAAAATAAATTATTGAATCCAAAAACCTGATGAAGAATAAAATATTCTGGCAACAAATTTAAAATAAATAAATAAATAAACACACATTGTCCCTTCAAGGGTTTGAAAGACTCTGACCAAGCCAATATTAAGAATGCGTATTTACACTCAAAATGATCACTTCAAATCTCGCGAGATTGGACATGTGATCTCTTATTACGCTATTTATGTCATGTCCACAGTACAGACCGACTTAAAAACCAATAAAAAGTAGGTTATTTACAAACATTGATTACGCGGAGACAGTATGTCCGTGATGCAGACCAATCAATTTAACTTCCCGTTGATTTGTTACCAAGGTAAGGCAAACTAAATGCCAACCCTCACTTATTTATATTTCTTCTTAATAAAAGAGTTTGTGCTAAATTTATATCTCACGACTAAAAATAGAATCCCAAATCCGAGAAAAATATTCTTTGCAAATAAATACAATGAAACAAAAATGAAATAATAAGAATTTTAATTCTTACACACAAGAAATTTAATACGTAACATAATGATGAAGTTGTCCTTTATTGATGATGTCAAAATTAGTATTTGGCACATCATCTATCTATAATTTCATATGAACGTAGCTTACATTTTCATATATAAATTGTTTCCATCCTGATAACAAATTTAAAGATCATATTCCTTTTACAAAATTGATACAAAACAAGCCAATCAAAAATAACCACATTTCTCATAAAGTGTGCAGAGATCTACCAGTCTCTGCAAAAAGTAGTTTTGTTTGCAATAAGAAATATGTTTAATTATAGGTGCAAACTCTTAGGTCATATTTCAACTGTCAGGCAAGAGCTTGCTAGTCATTTAAATGACCTTGTTTTAGATCCTATTCAACATGACGGACACAACTGTTAACAAGAAGTGAGTAATTACATAGCACGCGCGCTATGTTTGGTTTTAAAAGCAATTAATCTTTCAAATACGGATCACAATTTTTGTAGCATGCAAACATATTTCTGTTACATGAAGATTTCTAGAATAACTGCTTAGGTAAAACTTTGTACGTGAATTAGTTTTAGATCAACTGCAAGCAATGTTTTTATTTTTGTATTATATATATATATATATATATATATATATATATATATATATATATATATATATATATATATATATATATATATATATATTTGTTTATATGTGTTTATATATAGATATATATATATATATATATATATATATATATATATATATATATATATATATATATATATATATATATATATATATATATATATATATATATATATATATATATATATATATATTATAAAACCATATTACATTAATAGCTTAACTGAATAAACCCAAACTTAGGTAGGTGTAATTGCCACTTATAGAGTAAAACCTTTACTTCTTCGAAATTAAGAATCAGATTCTCGTTTTGTCCAATTGATCAATAAAGGGTTGGCATTTATAACTCAATTTCTGAGCCTCAACAGTCGGCAGATAGTAGCGTTGACGTACTTGTACATCTATTTTTTGTGTTTATTTTATTTTTTCGATTTGTGGTTTTATGATGTGTAAATGAATGTTGTTACTGAACTCGGTGAGTCATTAACATCAAATTAAAACAAAATCAAATAGACCCATTGAAAAAAGAACGACATTATTATGTGAAACAAGGAGTGAAAAAAGACTAGGTTGTAAATAAATAAGAGCTAGGTGCAGAAACGACAAGAACGGTTCTAAATATATAATAACACTATACAAGTACGATTGTTTCCCAGTGTATTGAATTGAGACATATAGTCCCAGAATATGATGATATTAAATAAAACATCGCAATGATCCATAGTTAATGTGTTCATATGCGTTCTAGTATGTGTACTTTGTCATATCAATGAAACAATGTCATCGTGCCATAAATCATGTTTTACCGACAAACCAAAAGAACAGAGAATATTTTGCAAAATTTGATAGAGCCATAACCCCAAATCATCATTTCTTTCAATAAAATATACATTAAATTTTTTTGTCATTCTTTAATCATTGATAAATACATCTGGTTAATCATTCATACATATAGAGGATCGATATGTTTTGAATAGATATAAAGATATATTTTACGAATAAGGTGGAAACATTGCATTGCAGTAGTATTGTGAGAAACAGAGAACATACGATATATACGTAACCAGAGTGAAATGTGTCCTTATATCTGTTAAAAGAAGCAGTAGGTTTTCTTTTTCTTATATATTTGTAAAGACACAAATCATTGATTTGCATGGATTTGTTTCACAATCCTAATTTAATGTGATCAACGGCCTCATTACTACAACAACAAAAGAGCTTCCAATATGTCACAATAATGATAATGATTTTAATTGTGTATTTTGTCAAATTAATGCATTTTTTTCGTGCTAAATGAAGAAAGTTTTTTTTGTTAACATATCTGCTGTACAGATGGATACACTGAACATTGCGAACATTCTTTCCAGAGTGGTGGTGCAATGACAGCGTGACAGAATGCTACAACAGGATTAAAAGCATAACATTATTAAACAACATATTTTAATGATTTCGAGCTTACCTTTAAGGGACCTTGTCTACTGTTTCGTTTGTATTTGCATTTGCTGTCAATCGTGATGTTTTCTTTTTTGTTTTTTATAGGTTTGGTGGGGGGGACAACTGTGCAATATATTTCTGTAACAGACGCCGTATGCTAATTTCAATTGTCTTTTAATTTCGGTTTGCAATCGACACAAATCAATGTTTGATTTATCCATTGTTTTCAGATACAATTAGGATTGTGATGAATTAATACTCAAACAATTATTTTACTATAAGTAATCAAGAGGGGATTTTTGAGAAGAAAAAGAAAATGTGCACGATTTGTTGTTTAGTGTTCCAGGCATGATATGATATGGGTGACAGAACAAAGTAGTCAAACTAGAGGCCCGCCGGATAAATTTTGAGTAAATATAGTATAATTGTTAACACACACACACCACCACCACCACCACCACCACCACCCAACACACCCATAAAATATCATGTCATATACGTTCAGTCTCTGATAATTGGTGCTGATTCATGTGAACAGTTATTGTACAAAGGTAATTCTTGAGCGTGCTTTTTGTTGCTTGAGGTTCATTTTTATGCATTCTTAACAACACCTTTTCGTTTATTACATAAGTGTAAACTAGAAGGTCAGTATTTAGCCACATTTTAAGAATTCGTTCATTCTGTGAAAGATAGAGGGAGGGAAGGAGTGTATGTGTGTGTGTGTATGTGATTTGGATTTTTAAAGTAGCTTTAAAATTGTTCAGTCATATCGCTACGATGTCTGCAGTGTGGCAGTTTATGTTATATCTAGCACATGGGCATCATGCCGCAGACACGTAGCATAATGTCCCACCCAGTGGCACCAGGCCGACCTGACCTAACACTAATTTTTTTTTTATTGCTGAGCGCCAAGTGAGGTAGCTTTCAGTACCATTTTTGACTCTGCCGGGGAATCGAACCCACGACCTCCCACGTCCGAGGCGGACGCTCTAGCCACTAGGCCACCGAAGCGATCGAAGGAAGGATGGAAGGAAGGATGGAAGGAAAATAAGAATGATATGCAAAAGAGCGGATACACTTCCTGAAAGAAAAGATAAAGTACTTCCAAAACTAATATCGCGATTAAAGTAGTGTCGACACGGTGGCAATCTCTCCCACTTGTATATGTAATTATCTTTATATGGGTTTTGGTTTTAAACCGACCCACCTCTTCAGCATATAGCTAATACAAAATATTGAAAGTTGCTCTGAAATCAAGGTGAAATGTAAGCTTATATAATGTACAATATATGTTACTTTTCATTTACTTTCTATATTCAATGAAAACGTTTTATACAAAATAGAAAAAAAAACAGGCTGTATTTCATATGTCATTTCTGAACATTGTTTGGAGATTAGTGTGGTAGAGAGAATATTGTCTGATTTATAACAACTGTATTATGTTTCCTATATCCGCTGTTAAACGACATGTATTTAGGTCATAAGAAATACCTTTTTGAAAGAATGCGAACATGGTGACCGAATTTTATTCAGGTTTTTGACAGAAAATAACGGAATAAACACTTTATTGGGACATAATGATTTAAACTCTACGGTTTCTAACTTATTAATAGGAAGACAAATATAAAAAGAAAATACACACGCACGCACACACACGCGCACACACACACAAATAGTTACTTGATACATGTGAATACTAACCTGCTTATGCGTGCGTAGAAAGATGTGGGGTTAAACTTCACAAATAATAAGAGTAGGTACCTGGTAGAACATATTTTCTCTAAAAACGAGTTGAGAAATTTCTCTGGCGATAAAAATATGATGCAACCTATAATATTGCCTCTCAGATAAAACAGTATTAAATTTTAAAAAATTCCAAGTTGGTGGGACTGTACTTTCATTCATAATACCTGTTTAATTCTCAGTGAAAATCTATATACCAAACTAAATAAAAAAAGAAATATCTGAAAATCTCAGTCTGATAAGGAAAATATTAGATGTTTAGTCAGTATGCTAGAGGAATGATATTTTTGAAAGGGAAACTAGGTATCAACTATTGACGAAACTTCTTTAATTTTAATTGACTTACGACCTTCCATAAGTAGTTGTTACTATAGACAAAATCGTGATCTGAGTAAAAATGAGTGATACATTATGAGACATATATTTTGAAGCTTAAAACATAAGATAACTGGAAAACCTTCATTCTTTCACACAATCACTTATGTTTTTTATTCGTTCATCTGTCATTCAATCATCTATTTATTCATTCCAAATGAGACACTTTTTAATGATTCTTCTTAAAGTTATTCTTGTTACGTACAAGGTTTAAGTATATATTTAAAATGTTATTGTATTTAGTGTACTCTCTCTCTCTCTCTCTCTCTCTCTCTCTCTCTCTCTCTATATATATATATATATATATATATATATATATATATATATATATATATATATATATATATATATATATATATATATATATAAATATATGTATGTATGTATGTATGTATGTATGTATGTATGTATGTATGTATGTATGTATGTATGTATGTATGTATGTATGTATGTATGTATGTATGTATGTATGTATGTATGTATGTATGTATGTATGTATGTATGTATGTATGTATGTATGTATGTATGTATGTATGTATGTATGCATGCATCCATGCATGCATCCATGCATGCATCCATCCATCCATCCATCCATGCATCCATCCATCCATCCATCCATCCATACATGCATGCATGCATGCATGCATGCATGCATGCATGCATGCATACATACATACATACATACATACATACATACATACATACATACATACATACATACATACATACATACATACATACATACATACATACATACATACATACATACATACATACATACATACATACATACATACATACATACATACATGTGGTATGGAGTTAATGCGTGCAGGAAGGATGATTGATGTCATAATCAGTGGATCCGTGCTAAAAATTAATTTTAAGACTCTGGTGTTTGTGTTGAAGAAGACAAAGAGTGTGATTTTCCCCATACAAAAAATAATAAGAATCTTTTATCATGAAAAGACAACAACAACAACAAGAACAAGAGCAAAAACAACAACAACAACAACATGAACAATAATAATAATATTAATAATAATAATAATAATAATAATAATAATAATAATAATAATAATAATAATAATAATAATAATAATAATAATAATAATAATAATAATAATAACGGAATATAAAGATAATGAAAATGACGGACCTAGGGTTAAACAGAACGCATTTACACTTGAGTTTTACGTTGAGGTGGCTTATATGGTTGGCAAGTATTGTGTGGTACTCAACAACCATTTCATCTAGTCCCTCTAATTGTTTCCATTGAGTCAATTCACAACTTTGATGAAAATGAACGTGGCTAGAAAGAGAAATATTGGATGCTGCAGAGGTTACGTTTATTTGTTATGAGCAAAAATTAGTTAGAAACACGTGGATACATTACTTTGTTAACTTTTATGACTTACTGATGCTAGTTTGTATCACTTGAAGTAACTTTAAGCACAATTCTATCAAAAGTTTGTTAATGGAGCACTTCCGTTCTCTAATCTTCATTTCCAGAGGTGTGTAGTTTGCACGTTGTAAAGCTTTTAAATTTCAGAGGTAAGTAAATCTTACTTGTAGATGTAGTTCCACACGTTGAGTAAATATGTTTGGTTTAATGTTCCATGTCGAGCTTTTAAATTGTATTTGTTGAATTACGCCGCGATGGTTGAAATTCCAATGCTATGTGTCGAGAATTACAATTTTGCATGTCAAATCAAATTGCTTGAAAGTTCCATTTCATAGGACTTTTAGATTTTCTCTGTTGAATTACACAAAGATAGTAGAAAGTTTCATTTCATATGACGTTTTAGATTTTCTCAGTAGAATTATACTGTGGTGATTGAAAGTTCCATTTCGAAAGACGTTTTAGATTTCTCTTTAGAAATACGCAGCAGCAGTTAAAAGTTCTATTTCACATGACGATTTATATTTTCTCTGTTAAATTGCACAGTGGTGGTTGCCAGGTCCATTTCATAGGACGAAGTAGTAGGGAAAAGTAAGAGTTCTAGCCCAAAGACCTCTTTTTTTACATCCCCTCAGACCTCCTAACAAATACAAATTACCTCCTCTCTCTGTCCTAAAACTCCCACCCCAAATGATTTAGATAAACTTGAAAGGCAGATGAGCTCAAATATAATTCTATAACATGCATACCTAGTAAAAGATGTTGCCTAATAAATATTGTCTATAGAGCGCTAGCCAAGCCTTTAATGGCATGTGCAGTCTAAAAAAATCAATATTTCTATAATAACCGAGCCAGGTAAATGCGGATGATCTAAAATCAAATAGAAGATAGGTAAAATGCTTTAGTCATATACTGCACGTCATATAGAGATGTGTCAGACTCAATCATGTGATCTTTTGGAACATTCCAGATCACTGGTATATAAGACAGTCATATTCTCTTATAGTCATTGCGTACTGCACTTTCAAGCGGACTCTTCATAATGCGAAAAAGATAAGTACATTATTTTTAAGTTTAGATAATATTTTACTTATATCATATTTTGTTGATAATCTTTTTCATACTTGCTAACCCTCATTGGTAAGATATATGTTAACATATTGTCAATAATACGGAACTCGCGTATTAAATCGTCCATGGCATATTTTATACCACGCAAGTAAGATCTTATCTGATCAAATATTTTTTTATAGGTGATGCTAGCCGATTGGCAACAATTTGTTTAGCTGCGAGTCTAGGTTCAACTTTCTTACACGCTGTTGAAAGAGAAACACCAATACCAGACATAATTAGCAGAAACGGATTTAATGATGCTCCGCTTGAAATTATACCAGAACTGGTCAATAACAACGGTAGATATGATATTATTCGAAGTATTTTGTTGTAGTATTTGTAACAATTTTTCACACACTAAAGTTTTTTGTGATAATATTTGTAGTATTGTATTAGTGCGTCCACATCTTGTTTTGGAATATCTTTTGAAATATGATTGAAATCAACTATACTTTTTTCATTATAATATTAGTTTACATAGTCCCATGTTTGGTTAAATAGTAGGTGATCACGGTGTTTCAGCTACAAATTCCAAACACCACCGATAAGAGGCATTTGTTAAACTTTTATCAGCTGGTTCAAGTATAAACTCTTCTTCCCTACCTTTGTTTAATACTATTGATACAATTCCAGAGAAAACATAAGTGACGCCATAGATATCTGGTGTATATACTAAACTTTACACCGCTAAACACTGACAATTTATACACACCGGTAACTTCTGCAATATGTTTGATAGAGTTGTTTTGCCTCGTCCATTCACCAAATCCAGCATCGACAGTATACACAATATTTTTAATCTTTTTGTGAGGAATTTTAATCAGATTTATTTTCTCAAGAATATCAGGAATTCCACTGATAATAGCATTGAGTTTTGTGTTAATATTAGCGAGTGTAATATCATCAGTTGGTGTATTCCCAAAAAATTCGTTATTGGTTCTGTTTATATTTCTAAGAAAATTTAAAAACGTACTCACGTGAATAGTAAAATCAGTTTTAGTGTGTTTATTTCATTGCTGATTGGAGCTTCCTTATCATCAACATATTTCTTTGTTGCAGCATCAAAATCAGACTCTGGTGTTCTAAGGTCAATAATGGCATTATTGTTCATGTTGAGAAATGCTCGCATCATACCACCGTTGACCGACACGTACTTTGATTCCTGATCATCGACATATTTTTTGTCGCAGCGTCATTATCTTCGTTTGGGTTTCCAAGATATGTAATCCTGTTTTGGTTCATATAAATATTTCCAGCAAATACATCACCAGCTTTTTAACATAATCATTCACTGACCCACCCGAATCTTGTATTTTACCTTGGTTATTAAAAGTAATGATATTAATAACAACCGCACTAGGAATTCGTGTAAGTACGT